TGGCAAACACAGCCACCATCACGTTCCCTACGACCCCACGGTCCTGAACAGTTCCTACTTGCAGCGGTTGCGACTGGTGATAATTTTCTTTATGTACCTACTATAGTAAAACAATCAACATAAGTTCAAATAGGATTTATTTTTTCTTAATAACGTTAAAGACCCAGTCTATGGTGAAACCAAATTAGATGAAACATGCTCAAATTAAATTATAAGTTGAGGCGATTTGTTTCTGCTACAACAATTGATGATTTAAGATCTTTATTTGCGAGAATAGAAATCATTATAGTTATATTTTATAGAAATGGTACAATCTACAGCATTAACAAATACCTTAACAGAATTAAAGTATGAAACAATTAGTTTAGAACTAGTTTACAACAAATTGTAGATTGATCTATTGCTAAAGACCTTAATGCTAAAGAGCTTTTTGATAAAATCTAATCAACATTCATCAAGGATTATATTTTCCAAATATTAAGTGGCAGACGCACTGATGTGTTCAGAGCCGTGGAGAAGTTTTTGAGGTGCCTTTACAGAAATTTTTGCCAAATTCAGAGTTCAAAGTCAAAGTCAAAATAATATTTATCCAAATAGACTTCTCTTTTGAATCGTCCAACATTTTTCCCCACCACTCGTTCGGGGCGTCTTTTGGCTGATAGGAAGAACGAACAAGTTCTTCTTTGATAATAGTATATTGCACCCAAAAAACAAGGGGGTGCATAAAATGGTTGCAACTGCAAGTTGATTCAAGGTAGATTACCAGAAGTACACACCAATATTTAAATGGTAATGAGACCAGTTCATTAAACTTTAGAAATAAATACAATGCATGACATGACACATTGGAGGGGGCTATCTAATGCGATCTGTAAGTTTATGGAACAATCAGGATGTTCCAGATTGCATATGTCGGATCTTGGGCGAGTGGCTGACCAGTTCCAAGGTGTCACCATTTCTGAGCTCCCGCATTCCACTCTCGGTCATGTTAATGCAGATAATGAGCTTTTCTATATTGTCTCTGGTCTGGGTGTTGTTACCTTCGTTGTTTCAGATTTCCATAATACAAGTGTTTAACTATATCATTTGGTATCTAAACTATGTAGGTATGTGATGGTATAAAAATTATATTTTTATGCGTGGGATTTTAAGCCATCTTCAAATATCGTTTGCAATGCTCAAATTAATATACTAGAGATTACAAAAAACACCCTGTTTTGTATCATTTCCTTTTCTAATGTTAAAGCCCGACAATTACATTTAAAACGACACTGATTTGTCAAAATAAAACCTTTTCGACTGATCAATAATTTTCGTATTCCGAACATTCTCATACAAAACGAATGGTTTACGAAAATATATCCGAGCCAAAAGTATTTTCATTTGAGTATCGCCGAACAACATCTGGTTCACAGGTTCTTGAGACTGGCATACAACAACCTACCTAATGCAACTGACGTGTCTCTTTGGACTGCCATCGGTACTCAAAAACTTTGCTACATAGACCAACACAACAACTGCGCTACCACAATAGCAGCGCTTAGGGTGGTCTCTCAACTTCGAGCAGTGCGTGCTGGTTCTGAACTTCCTCGGCGTTGCCTGGTGCATCGTGACCAACACGGTCACGAGGTGCCGGGAAGTGCCGGGGAAGTCAGGGGTAAGTCCCTGTCGGAACCGAAGTGCCTTACGCTACGCATGGCACTTCAGCACGAGGCGACTACACGTGGCGGTTAATCCCTCAGACAGGCCCAGTTCCTAATGGGGAGATTCGACCTTGCCTCGTTTGTGATTCGAAGAGGGTGATTACACTGTCGCACACTGCAATACTACCATCGACAGTTGCCCAAAGATCACCATTACCACCGAATCAAACTACCAGACTCAGTACAGAACATTCAGCGAAGTCACTGTTTGAACCGAACGCTTCACGCTACGCATGGCATTTCAGCATCAGATCGTACAAGGCGGTTAGTCCCTCAGACAGGCCCAGTTCCTAATGAGGAGACTCGACTTTGCCTCGTTTGTGATTCGAAGAGGGTGACTACACTATCGCACACTGCAATACTACCATCGACAGTTGCCCAAAGATCACCATTACCACCGAATCAAACTACCAGACTCAGTACTGAACATTTAGTGAAGTCCCTGTTTGAACCGAACGCTTCCCGCTACGCATGGCACTTCAGCATCAGATTGTACAAGGCGGTTAGTCCCTCAGACAGGCCCAGTTCCTAATGGGGAGACTCGACTTTGCCTCGTTTGTGATTCGAAGAGGGTGGTTACACTGTCGCACACTGCAATACTAACATCGACAGCTTAAAACTATTACTACCTATTCGGATTACCAGACCCAGTACTGAATGACTTTAAATGGTAAGTAACTGTTGTATCATGATACCTTCCAATAAATGCAACGCAAATCGCTCAACATCCGAGGACAGGTGCATAGGAAATCTGTTCGAGTGCTCAACTCGAGGCAATTACTCACGCGAGTCTTCATTTCGCGGAATGCCTAGATGTAAATGCTAAGAGAACTGTACTGATTCCCGTACATAAACAAAGATGGGGGACCAAATCTAGGATATTATTGTAATTATGACACGAACAAGGCAGATTCAGATATTATGCATAGCCTGAATACTAAATCTAGCAGCCCAACGTTCACCAGATGTGAACTTATTCCATCGACAAAAGCACACGTCATTCCCAGGTACATGACAATGGATGTGACGAACGAGCAAACTAATAGGTCATAACGCATGACGTCATCAGTGAAAATGCAAGCTGGCCTTATTCAAACATGATTCCGCAAATACTTTCTCGACTCCAGTAAGCGTCAAGGCAAGTAAGTACATTATGATTGTTCCAAAATGGGACGAAGTGTCTTGGCTGACGATTTGTTTCCGCAAATACTGCAATAGGTATGGCAACAGGTGTTCATCCCCCGAAATTCAGAAAATTTATTTAAAAGTCGGGCAGAATAAAATAAAATAAAGAAAATCTTGAAACTATCGAGTTAATGTAAAGCGACTATAAATATCTACTAGTATTAATTCTGCAAATAACAAGTGCCCGGTAGGGAAATTCTGCTAATGTCGGCGTAATGGTGGAGGGTCAATAGCGCTTCGACTACAACCCTTTATGACACATTCTTGTTACTAGATCATAAAATAATAAATATATCTGTCAATATTGAATTGTTAGGAAGACATTGCACAAATAATATTAGACTTCAGGTATATAGTACAATGGAAATTTTACGTAGAAATTGGCAGAATTGACTCTATTTAAGTTGCTGGAAATTTAGCACAATTTCACAATCTTCAAGGTCGCAGAATCCATTATTTAACCCTTTTAACCTTTGAAGTAACGAAAATGATTTTTTGTCTTATGACCCCATTTTGTATTAAAAACAGATAATAGTAATTATGACAGCCTGGATAGAAATGATTAACTGACACAAATCATTCGATTGCATGTATTGGACACGCGATCAATTTTTGTATTGAAAGAGCCCCAAAAAGAAGTAATTTTCACGAGTTAACTACTCTGTTCTCAAAAATGCTAAATAGAAGCACATAATGTAGAAGATTCTTCAGGGTCTATTACATCTGCAGTTCCATCTCTAAATTGACTGGAATTGTTTCCGATGGATAAATTACTGAAACTGTAAAACTGGCGCCAAGAATATACTTTTAGGAAGTCCTATCGAAAACTGATAAATCGGACAATCAAGAAAATTCCGATATCTATGTATTTACATTTTTATTATTCCATTCAATTCATTAATGATATTGACCGATAACAGATAAGCCAATATTTATTTAGCTTAGATTACCGAAATACTTGAATAATTATTATAATTGCATTGTTATGTAACAGCATAATATATGTACTATGTATGTAATAGCATAATATACTTATAATATGCATTATTTTTTCTCATCAGACTACATTTGACTTTTTATACCTGCAACACATTATAGCGTCACCAATGGCACTCACCAGGAGATAACAAACACATCACTCAAGATGGATTCCGGATATCGAACGGAACAAATAATAGAGAGTTTTAACTACCAATAAAACTTACCTATTATTTTTCCTAAAGATATCCGGAATCCAGGTAAGTTCTACCTGGTGCATCTAGAGTAGGTATAATGACGGTAAGCGTTCGTGCCTAAAAGTCATTGGTTCGCTACCCGCAAACTAGATGGCAGCACAGGCGCCGGAAGTAAGATGGGAGGTAGTATTTTGGACCGGAAACGTCACAAAAAGGATGATGCTTGACTCAAGATGGATTCCGGATATCTTTAGGAAAAATAATAGGTAAGTTTTATTGGTACATTGGCTTCGAACCACTTACAAATTCCGCTGAAGCTGTGTCTGTTATGCATTTGTTACCATGTCATGCCAATATCTATTGAATTACCACAAATTCTTACGATTAATGAAAGAGCTAATGCTTTTAGTGCTTGCTTGCTTAATGAATAAGCTTCCAAACTTTAAAATGAATCGAAGGGTTAAAATAACTTACCCCTTGATATTTACATTAAATTATATCTACAACTGTAAATAGCCGCATAGTGGATTTGTATGGACAGGTCTTCCCTGTGTATAGAATTGAATTGGGAGAATGGGCCACGCGGTGCCACATGATTATATCAAACTATATTGTGTTTCCTAAGATGACTGGCTCCTGGTGGTCCGCCATGTTATTAAGACGGCTGCCAGATAACAAACTCATATAAACAAATTTTATTGGTAGTACTGTACAATAATTGAAATAAAAATGGTGGACAGAATATTTATAAACCCATTACCTGCAGTTTCTCAAGAGGGTGTAGCTTAATAAATCAACAATGTTCTTATTCAGCGAAGTTTGTTACAGGTTTTGCTCACCTATTACTATTTTTTTAGTTAATACTTGAATTGTTTATAATTAATTTTTATTGTTAAGAAATTAATATATTTTTTTATAATGTCATACTTAAATGCAGGCACAAAATAAGCAACTAAATGAGAGGCAACTATCGACAATGGTCAGGCAAGCGGCCACACCTCCAGATGATCGCAAACGAAAAATAGAAGAGGTTATAAGAAACGTGAGTAAACATATATATATATATCTATACTAATATTATAATGAGGAAAGATTTGATTATTTGTTTGTTTGCATCGAATAGGCTCGGAAACTGCTGGACCGATTTTAAAAATTATTCATCTACGGGAAGCTACATTATATGCGGTGAACGTAGGCTATATTTTATATCGAAAAAAGCAAATAAAGGGATGAAAATGGAAGTGAAAGTATGTATAGGGAATTAAAACGTTACCATAGTAACCATTGTTTACTATTCAATTTTTCATTGTAATTATATGCGTGTTATAAATATGAATCTATATCTAAATAAACAGTTCCATAGCTGGCGGAAAGCTAGTGTAAATATAAAACAATATACCGGAACTCTCACAGGTTATTTGCTCACAAATTACAGATGAAAGAGTTTGATACGCAAGGAAATGGATGCACGTTTATTACAGTTACATTTTTTTTATACTCTATTGTCCTACTTGCATGCTTATTCTTGAACGCAATCGCAGTCAATTGACATTGCAATTGTGACATGTGCCAAATGGCTCAATACTGCGTGGTTATTGAATGAACTAACAGACATTCAGCCAGTTGCACAAATGTCCATTAATATTGTCATTAATTTAAAGCTACATTACTCATACAAATTGGACATTCATTAGAGCTTAAAGACTCCATTAAACCTTAACGGACGTTTGTGCAACTGACCAATTGAGTATGTATTGAGTCTTATATTTTACAAACTAAGGTTTGATGTAAATTAAAATCGTCATTGGATTGGATTGAAATTGACATTGCGATTGCGTTCAAGAGTAAGTGCCTGATTTGGGTTTTAACATTGTTCTGGTGTTATGTACATAATGATGATGACGATTTGATGTGTAGATTTATTTTTTATTTTGATGTTTTAGATGAATTATTCGAGAAATCCAACGTTTGCGAAATTTGGCTTGAAAATTTCAAACGAGTTTTATCCCGTCAATGCCAAAATATTAAAGCCTCCGACGTTGGAAGTTGGCCGAGGCCAGACACTTGAACCCAGGTTGGTTATAATATTTTTTTTTTTGTATATGAGTAACATTTAATAGACAAAAGTTACTATATAACAATAATAAACATTGAAGCTTTTGTAGTTTTGATTTTTAGAGCTGCGACAAAATATGCCGTAAAGCTTGATTAATGGCAGCACTAGCAACAAACAAATTTCGATTTTTCGTTAATTTTTTTCTTAAAGATGAATTATATAATCATCCTTTTTACATCTAAATATGCTATTATTGTAATAAAACATTATGGGATAAATTTGCACTCTTTTTGAAAAATATCTCAATATTCCTACTATGCTCAATAATACTTTACTCTTTTTACTCTACAAAGAAAGCTGTGTCATTACAAGATGACAAATGACTTGAACTATCTATATAAGCTTGTAACGGGTTCGGTGCTTAGTTGTTGGTAGAAAATGAAACGGCTGACTAGGTTTGATAAGTAGGTACATTTATGGTGTAAATAAAAAAACTGTAACAACTATTATGATAAGTAGTATAATTATGTACTTTAATAAAACAATTACAATTTCCCCTTTTCTTTATTAGGTAGAACTTATATAAATGAGTGAGTTATAAAAAGTATCTAATGTAGATATACGTTTACACATTTCTTTACTAATTTATAAGATAAAAATATTTATTACAACACAGAACAGAGATAAATAAAGAATAACTTACAAACATGGGAAATTGTCATTTGCACAATAGGCGGCCTTATCGCTTAACAGCGATTTCTTCCAGGCAAACCACTGGAAGAAGCAATGATATATTATGTAGGTAGGCTGTGCGCTGTAGCCTGTAGGATTTATATTATTAAATTACATAACGTGTTCTCACCGAACCCGAACTGACATTCGTGTTACTCAAAATTACAAATTAAGAAATATAAATAATAAAAAAGGTTCTGACTTAAATGAACGGTGGTACGAGACACCGTTATACAAGCTTTTAACATCACTAAACTACGTTTATATACAGAAAAGGTGCATGGCAAGCCAATCAGGTGTATCGTCCCGAGGCTTTGCAGTCTTGGGGCTTCCTTGCAATCGAATGTGATCCTAACTGCGACTTTAATAGAGTTATTGATATGGTAAGATGAAAATATTTATTTTATATTTAAAATTAAAATATTTAAAATTATACTTTCTTATTAGCTGTGTTGACTCTATTGAAACAGAAGATATGTTTTAAATGACATCTTCAGAAATACGAAGACGCATTTGTTTTACATATTTTTAGGTGTTTCAATTCAGTATTCAAGTCTAACTAATATTATAAAGAGGGAATATTTGTTTGTTTGCATTGAATAGATTCCGAAACTACCGGAGATAATTTAAAAATTGTTTTGATTATGGGAGGCCACATCATATGCGGGTGACATAGTCTATAATTTTCATTAAAATTGAACTAATTATGTTTTTTCTAGTTTTATATTTACGGTCAGTTGCACAAACATCCATTAAGGTTTAACGACGCCTTTAAACTCTAATGAATGTCGAATTTGTATGGGTAATGTCTCTTTAAACTAATGTTTTAAGGGACGTTTGTGCAACTGCCGATTAGTCTTATTTTAGTGCTATCTTTAATGAGTACCTATCTCGCTGTCCAAATTGTTTGACATTTTTGGATATCATAATTCTTTATTAATAAAAATGGACTGTTAGTAATTATTAATTGGACTTCACTAACATTTGAAATTAAATCGTTGCTAGTATTATAAGAAGGTAAAGTTTCTAACTCTGTTGGGGTAATTTTAGGGAATACAGATCCATGAAAATTCTTTTACCAGCAAGAAGCTACATCGCACTTGGGTGATTGGCTATAATTTACGCGGACGAAGTCATGGGAAAACAGTTAGGTTAAAATAAAAATTGTTTATTCTTATGTATAAATAAAAATTAACTGTTTGAATTGAAACGTATTGGAAAGCTCGATATTTTATTTCAATTATTTGCAACTTTCGCAAGAGCCGGTCATAGGATGGGTGACCAAAAGTTTATTATGTCGAGTTCCTCCGTACTTCGGAAGGCATTTTTAGCGGTTAATTTGCAGTCGTTAATACCCACCAATGCACACTGGGCCCTCGTGGTGGGTCATGACCCATTTTCCCATATTCGATTTCATTTCATTCTATTCATAGTGAAGGCCTGAGCCCCAACAGTTTTAGGTCGTTTCATGTTGTGTACACTAATCTAAGATTATACTCAAAAAATTGAAACTATAAATACGTTATTGTATAATTTCTTTAAAAGATGTTTCCTTTGTCTTAGATGATGAAAATGGGCCGCCAAATGGGCATGAACGTGTCCCCCCCCGCATTAACTCATTACAATGTCAACATAAGGGACCTTCAGAACGTCTTGTTCTCGGCACTGGAGAAGAATGTCAAATTTTTATTCATTATAGTTTCTGCTAGAGGACGTGATTATTATCACAGAGTAAGTAATAATTTAGTCTATTATAAATAATAACAAAAAAACCTATGAACAACGCAAATAATCGTGTTTGTTGCAAGGGAGTTCCCTTAAATATTTATTTTATTATATGTTAAAGTATTTGTTAAAGCGGTACGTGTGTAGAGGTAGTTTTTCTGGTAGTATTTAATATGCTATTACTGATTATCATACTACCGTGCTTATTTTATTTATAATATTATTTAGATATATTATATACTGATTTTAAAATCGTTGTCACGTGACCGCAAACAGCGCGTGACGTCACAGTCCTCTGAGGAAGATGCCATAAATTTTACTTTGACATTGACATAGCGTTTTGGCGGAAAATTTTGAACATGAATTAAATTTTTTAGATTTTAAATTAATATATGATATATATATATATATATATATATATATATATTTCAATTATATTTATAAAAAAAATTTTATATAAAAATCTTCTACACCCGTATTATCACGTTTCATAAGTTACAGTCTGGTGATAGATGGACAGGCAGACAGACAAACGGACTGACAGCGGAACCCTAAAAATGGATATAATACATACATACGTTCTGATTTCATTATAAGTCTTATAAGTGTTAATAATAGAAGTAAGCCTCATGCCTTTACAAGCTACATAGTGTAAGACGTGAGTGTTCTTAAAATAGTTCTTTAAATAATTAAGATCTACCCACTGTCGCTATTAGATTGCATTTTCATTTGATAGATTTAGTGATATAAAATACCTACTACACCTTTGTAAGGGAACTGGTGATTTCAATTTACATTTCAATTGATGATTGGTGTGTGTAAATTGGGGTTGGATCTGTTGATTAATGTATTTTAATTATTTTTGTACAAGAATATGAATTATTGACGCTTATGTAATATAATAAATAATATTAATCATACCCGGCATATATGAATATACTTAATAAATAAATATTAGACAATTCCATGATGAGTAGCTAAAGTCCTCGTATTATGCAGTTTTGACCCGACCGGGAATTGAACCCGGGACCTTAGAAACGGCGATTCCCTGAAACTGGCGTATGAACTACTTGGCTTCAGATGTTTCAGTTACTAGGAGTAATTTTCGATAGTTGTGAGGCGACTTTCACAAGTACCGGTCATAGGATGGGTGACCAAAAATTTATTATATCGAGCGCTTCCAAGTTAAGCCATTAGTTCCGGCTGCATCTGCAGTCGTTAACACCTACCAATCCTCCCTGGGCCCATATGGTGGGTTATTAATGGACTTAATTCGTCCATCCATTGTGAAGGTCTGAACCCCAGCAGTTGGACATAAATAAATATTTGATTGCTGTCCATGAAAATTTCCATTATTTTTGTTTCCATAACAGGTTAAACAATTAGCTGAACGCGATGTTGGAATCCTCACCCAGTGTATAAGAGAACAAACAGCTGCAACTAGAATGAATCCACAAACGGCTAAAAATATTCTACTAAAGGTAAGCATTTCATAATTTGTACTCGTATTTTATTATTTAAATCGGGCTTTAAGGAAATAAAAAGTAAACGAGAGGAAATCAACGCGTCCGTTAATGAGACAGAGACAAAGGATAGTGTCATAGAACGATTTTTAATCAATTACTCGCAAATCAATACAATTATTGTAAAAGTTTTTCACAAAAGTCGACCACAAAGTGACTTGACTAAAAAAAGGGTTAAATATATTTTATTACGATCATTATTGCTTTAGAGTGGTCTATATAACATTTTTTTCACATAAGTTGTTTTTGTATTAAAGTAATTATTAAAAAGTGCAAAAAAAGATATGATAACTTCAAAATATTCAAACTTCATGCAACTTGTCTGAGTGGATGTGTTGAAAATGTACAATAGGAATGTCGTTTTTACAAAAAGTTAACATCGATGCAATAACATCAACATATTATGTCGCAGAATAATCAAAGGGGGGTTTAAAATAGTACCATTGTATGTTACATATTATGTCCATAATAAGTTTCATTTTTCAAAGCTCTAGCTGGAAAATTATATGACGAAACATAAATTCAACATTTATGATTCGCAATATAAGTACAGCAGTTCCTTAAATTTACTTAGCAAATTTAGTTTAAAGGAATTGCTGTACTCGTAAGTTTCAACATTTTTTTTCTCTCTTTTTTAAATTGCGAGGCCAATCGCTAGATTCAGGATCAGTACACTATATATCATATTCATTCAAATAACGCTATGTCTAACAAAACTACCTTAATATGCAATTTTATCTTGCGATTTGCACCAACGACTAGTTCTAGTATTGTCCCTTTTTTCAATGAAGTTTATATTATACTCATAACATTTTTATAATATACTTCACATCCACTCTTTAATTGTATATAATAAATAAATATGTGGTATATAGTGCTGGTGTCAAAGTTAGTAAAATAGTATACTACTAAACTACTAATTAACCTATAAAAACTTTGTAACTTTTTGGTTACCCAAAAAATAGAAAAAAATTATTATTGTCACTAAACTTTAGATTTTCGATGCCGGGTATTTTTTACAGTCATATAACGATGTATATTTTCATAAAATGTGCATGTTCCGTATTTTATTTATTTTTAATTTATCAAAATATTAAAAATAACGAAAGAAATGATGAATTTAGTGTTAACTTTATGATATTTTTCTATTGAGAAACTTATAAATTCGATAATGTAGTTTTCTTTCTTTAAATTACACGTTCGGACGTTATTTTTTTACATAAACTAAAAGTTATTGATTTTTTTTTCTTTTAAAGATAAAACTATAGTAAAGACGATAGAAATAAAGAAAATTTCGAACAAACGAAAATGTTGATTAATTTTTAGTAGTTAGCGTCTCTGAGTATGGCAATGTGTTCAAAAGTTTTGAAACTTTATATGTTACTTATTAAAAAAAAAATCTTTTATAATACTGTTGTTAATATTTATTTTTAATCTCAGGTGAATTCAAAGTTGATGGGCATAAATCAAGCGTTGGACGGTCGTTGCATGCCAAAATGTTTGAGAGATGGGGGAGTTATGGTGGTTGGCGCTGATGTCACACATCCCTCGCCTGATCAGGTAACCAATGAACGTTGTCGCCAAAGTAATTCATTGGCTAATCAACTGTTTTATAATGAGTTGGGAAAGCACTTGAAACCTTTTATAAGATCATACTAAACCACTATTAGATTTATTAAACTGAAAAAGTGTTATTGAATAGAGAAAAAAATATTTTATTATTCGTTAATTTAAATTGTCCCCCGAAAACGGTCAGTTATGTGATATTTCGAGCTTTGATGTCACATTTCAAAAGACATTACTGTTTGCATTCGCAACAAAGACGTCGACGTGCAGTTTATTGAAATGTGACGTCACATGATGTTTCGTCATGGTCGCCTTCGTTTCGGTTCTTGTAATTCACAGATTATAAATCGCAAGTTAATTTTGAAAAAATAACACATACTTTAAATTAATTTTATGACAAGAAAATATTATTTTATTTTTGCTATAACTTACCATTTCCAACATAATTCATAAGTCAAGTAGCCAACTGACAAGTTTTACAGATTTATATATATTTTTTTCTTCTTTACAGACCTCTATACCGAGCATCGCGGCTGTAACAGCTTCGATCGATCCCAAATGTTTTATGTATAACATCGAGCTTAGTATTCAAACACCAAAGGTGTGTATTAATTAATTTATGTATACGCTAACATTTTTACTGAAAATTAACGGCCTTTAGACATTCTCTTCTGTTGTCTTCGCCGAGAGTTGATAAATATGAATATGCGTCTGAATAGCGGCGGCGTCCTTAATAAGCTAGTTGACATTTTTTTTTTATAAATAAATTGTCCATTAATATCTTAGTAATAATGTAGAAGTAAAAGTATGTCTGGGATTAATAGTTTCGGAGATACGGTGTTATGGTTAAACTGCTGCTAGTCGGCTGAAAACGTTCCCTACATATTCAAGCAAAAGTGGCGTCACATAATGCTTCGGTAGCGAAAAACGTATAGGGTTATTAGTGCGTTTATGTTTATAGCTGTTATAATTAAAGTTTATACGTTCAATGTAATTAATTTAATGCCTTCCTTTATGTATTTCCCTGCTTTTATCAAGTTTTCAAAACGTAATATTTTTCAAATAAATGGCGGAATTTATTTATTCGTTCAAATGACTCATGTTTACTGACCATATAACAGAAACCTGTATTTTCACTTATAATACAACCCTATCGTAATCTGTATTCGTTAAGTTTTATGGTATAATACAAAGTAGGGATCAGTTCGATATCAAAACGTATTTGAAAAACGCTATGAGTTGCATTATCATATCGTATCGATAACACAAGCTAAACATACGTTTCCCTTGTTGTGTTGCCATCTTTGGAGTCCCTGGCATGATTCCCGGCTGAGTCAATGTAGAAAATAGACTATTCTATATAGTTTGGTGTCTGGATGTTGTGGTACCTTCGTTGCCTCAGCTACTCTATAAAACGGGGGGCTTTGCCTACTCATCTTGGAATCTGAGTAATATATGTGGTGTTGTCTGATATAAAAAATGTTGTTTTGTTTCTAATTTGTTAACGCGTATTACAAACTCCCAGCGCTCTACAACAAAACTAAACTAAAAAACTGTATTGTATCTCAAAACGTGTAATGTTGATATTCGCCCTTTCTCTTTGTAATGCCGTAAGGCAAAAAGAGATAAGGAAATATCATATCCAACATCCAGTTATGGAATCTCTAATCTGGTAAAAAATCTTTAGTTTCATAGCAGTAAGGTCTACTTAAGAGAGTTAAGCTAAGTCGGTTACTTAGCTAAACGCTCTCAAATACACAATACTCGCTCCTTCTCTTTCTAATGTAAGCAAAGCTCCGTGATGCAAAAGAGATAAAGGGAAAGTCATATCCATATTACTACTATGCAATATACTTGCGTTTTGATATTGCGAATATTTAACTAAGCAGTCAACAACCATTCCTTGATAGCGATATCTGAAAACTGTTTTGAATATCGATAACAAAACGTGACATTATTTTTGTAACGGTTATGGGAATATAGTGAAAAAAGGTGAAAAAATTAAAGAAATGGATTAATATCATTGTATTCATTTATTTTCGCAGAAAGAGATGATTGTGGAATTTGAAGAGATGATGGTTGATCATCTAAAGGTATATCGTCAACACCAGAAAGCTCTGCCAAAGAAGATTTTCGTGTTCCGAGATGGTGTCTCTGAAGGCCAATTTGCACAAGTAATTAATGTCAAAATTGCTTTAATTTACATCCATCGTATACGTTTTTCTATTATCACTTATGTAATAAATCTTTAAGCTGTGAAGTAAAATGACTGCATGCAATGCCATAATAATAATAATATTATCTGTATGTGTGACATTATATACTTTTAAAATAATGATGTTTTCTGCATAGGACGTTTATATTGCTACAATTGATTTTAAACCTTAATGTGGAAAAAGTTAAGACGGTAATTGATTGTGGAGACATTTTGACGTAATGTCATGATCTACTTTGTTATTTAAGTTTTATGTTATTGTTGAAAGAATAGCAAATTAGCAATTGACGTTGTTTAAAATGTATGCCGATTATGTGGGCTTGTATAAAGTTTAATTGTCATAAATAATTTACCTGTTAGAGTCCCGGTATATATCCCTACCCCCGGTCCCGGACCTATAGAGTATATATTTCTTAAATAAAGCACCCTTAATAAATGTATTTACCTTTAAGTTAAATCTTTATTGTATCAACCTATGTGGTCAATAAATTTTCTTTCTTTCTTTCTTCTTATGAGATTTCTAAAATTTAATGCTTTATTGTAGGCTCTTCACATATTTATTGTATTACAGGTGATGAACAGTGAACTGCAAGCTGTCCATAACGCCTACAAAACTATGGCTGGGCCGAATGCTAAGCCGGAAGTGCTATTTCTACTGGTACAGAAACGTCATCATACGAGGTATCCATGCAATAATGATTGATATTTATTTAAAACTAGTGAAGAACTATTTAGAGAAGTAACTGATTTTGATTAAATAAATTGGACGAAGAACTAGTATTCATAATAGTCTCAGATATTATAAAAGTATTATAATAGTCTCAGATATTATACTAGTATTATTACTTGGTGAAGGTTGGGTATTTTAGTGTTTGCCTTTTAGATATATGTTTCTTTCGTATTGTGAATAGGAGTTTTATCAAATATCATAGTTGTATATAAAACCATGCATATAAAACCATGTCAAGTTATATAAATCTATCAAACTTCTCCACTTCATTTTAAATCTTAATGTTTTGATCGGAGAGTTTAAAATCAACTGCAGAAATTTGACATATTGTGGTAATCAGACGTACGGTGGTGTGTACATTGTGAAGAGTACAGTAAGAGTAAGAGAAAATCTGTACTTCTAGTACAGATTTTCGACATTACCTTATTGTATTTTGACTTTATTGTAGTTGTTAGTCATATTAATTATTGAGATATACTATCTCTTGTTTTGCAGATTGTTCTTGCCAAATAGTCCGGATAACGTCGACCCGGGGACTGTAGTTGACACCAATATAGTTCACGCCAGTGAACTGGACTTCTATCTGGTATTATATATTTTATGTTTAAATTTTTTATCAAGTTTACAAAACACTCGTTGGTTTTCGTGCTTAGAGTAGGCGCAGAACATGCCTATTACTAGACTTCAAAAAGTTTATGATTAATTCAGGGGACTTCGTTTTTACAATAAAATCCCAATATACAAAAAAGAAACACTTACATACATAAATCTATTTAAATCTATAATTAAAAAAATACTTATCTAGAAAGATTACTATAAGCTTAAGGTGTTTCAGCCATTTCGATAAGTGATTACTTTTATGCATATTATATTTATTTATTTATTAAATGTCGTTACTCCTGTTAGAGATGGTAAGTTTCAATAACTCGTTCTTTTTATCGGGTGTATAATATATGGCATAATAACAAAATACATACAATTTACAACCTATACCTTCGAATAACATAATTTTGTTTAACATATCGATTATTAAATATTTATAGTAGTAACTTCATATAGAATCAAATATCATACATATAACATTATTTAACCCTTTACTGCATGATTTATTATAGCGTTGAAAAAAAAAAAATATTTCAGTGTGGAAATAGCTTTATTTAATCATCAATAAGACATATTGAGAAAGAAATTTTGAAAAAGTTTTATATTTTGGATTTTTTTTTACGGAACCATATATGGGCTCGTATGCATTGAGACAAAAACCATTACAGACACATATGGTATTGTATGCAGTAAAACAAAGAATTTAGAGAATATTGAAAAAATAATAACAATATAATTATATTAAAAATTGAAAGAAACGGTTTCTTTTTTCATTATAGCATAAAAAAACTTTACACTTGGAGCATTTAGTATAAGTTTTCATTGAGCATACTTGACAATGCTGACGATTCTTCTGCCATTCAGGCCAATGACCTATACTGTCCGTCCTTACAGAGTTTAGGGAAGCTCTTGATGTTTTTCTGGGAATTTTCTCGTCTTTTTAGATATAGGTGTTCCAAGATTTGATCTGAATGGGACAGGCATTGAGGGAACATCGCTTTCGGAATCTAAATCATCATCATCACTTAGCATGCCATCACCAGGAATGAAATTAGTATGAAGGTTTTTTCCGTAAAAACGCGCTGGGTCCATTCTGCCAAGCAAGAGAAAAGGCAAATTTTTGAAGCAAGCAAAGCATAATAAATAAATAAAATGTATAAAAATGTGTAATATGTATAAAATTTTAGCTGTTATAAATAAATAAAACTTTAAATGCTAATTTGCTTGAGCGCATGCGATTCCATATTTGTCCTAGCAAAAAAATGTCTTAGTGCATACGAGACCAAATATGGAATCGAAAAAAAACTAGCTGTAAAGTATAAAAAACAATTGAAAAGCGGAAAAATTATCATTCGTCGAGAAAGATGAATATATCGACTCCATGAAAATATTTTTTTTATCAAAAAGTACTTACGTATTACTCTGTTATAGTTTTTTGAAAATGAACAACTCGCACTTCGATTCTGCTTTTTCGCCCACTTGCTTAAAAGTGAGGTTATTTCGAAATGTCATCAAACCATAGACAATATTTTTGCGTTTTATTATTGCTAAATATATATTTAATGAATTAAAATAGTTTGAATTGTTTTATAATACTTAGTTTGGAAATAAAAATTAATTAAAACTTCAATACCATATATGGGCCCATATGCGGTAAAGGGTTAAAATAATGAACATTTGAAATTATTTATATATGTTTCTTAACCCAAGTTTATTAGAGTAATATATAGAATGATGGTTATATTATAGAAATGAACAAAGACAAATTAATGTTATACAAATTAAGTGTTATATGAATTGTTTTAGGCGAATTAATATTATTTAAAACAAGAGTTATTTTAAACAAAATTATGATAATAGTCGTTCTTACAAATGTTCATCATATAGTTATAACGTTATTGATTTGAAATTATATAAAAAATTGCTATAACAAATGAAGCGCACCCCTTTTTATCAGCTAAAAGACATCCCGAAAAAATATATTGGACGATTCAAAAGTACCTTTATTGAGTTTATTTAAACAAACATCATTTTGATTTGGACTATTATTCAGGGGCTTATCCACACTAATACAACATATTTAACCTCAAATCGAATTAGCTTTTGTTCAATATTGGTCAATATTTTATTATGTGATAAAAGTATTGAAATAACAAGTAAATTATATCTAGGTGTCACATCAAGCTATAAAAGGTACAGCGAGGCCGACACGTTATCACGCTGTATGCAACGACGGTTGTATACCTCATGATGAAGTGGAACAGCTCACATACTACTTATGCCACTTGTATTCCCGTTGCATGAGAGCTGTATCATATCCAACACCTACTTACTATGCGCATTTGGCGTGTTTGCGCGCTAGATCGCTGACGCAGTGAGTATTACTATTTTCATTTTATTTCCGATCTCATATTGTTTAGTAGTGGAGCAGGAGTTTTGTAACGGTTGATACATCAGGATATGGAAAGTGAGTGTTCATCACTCAGTGCGAAGGTCAGCTCCTGGAACACCTGGATGATTGCTGAAAGTGTTTGTTTTACTAAGTGAAAGGCAGAGTATTTTTTTCTTAACATAAACGTTATATTTAGTCCTTAATAAATTTTCAACCATTACGAGACTATTATTCGGGGCTGATTTGTAGTACCAACTTTTGAAATGTGCTGAGCTACTGAGTTTTATATTGAGATAAGTTTCTCTCTGATTATTCAATCGTTAGTACTTGAAATGGTATCATTGTATGTTGCCATTTGAATTATGCCGCCGGCTCCAAGTGTTCCAGCATCTTATCTCCGCACTGGATACTGAGAGTTAACGGTAAGGAGCTCTTATACTATACTAATCTAAAGAATCATGTTCACTTTCCATACATATATTGACCTGTCACGTGTTCTTTTTTTCGCACTGAATTTTATAATTATCTTTTTTCACTAAACATCCCTTTTGTTTACCCTACAAATGATTTTACGTCCCCAAACATTTAAATTTTAAACCTTGTTTTGGGTACATAATTAAGGTTAAATTTACATCAAATAATATTTCAATGGGAAGAAGCCCACATACTGACTAATTTAAAACAGTTTTTAGAAAGTTGTCCGATTTCCTATTTAGGGAGGTGGGAGGTTTTTAAAGTAAACAACAGTACAATTATAAAACCTATCTATTATCTTTGCACACTTTTTATAATTAAGAACATAGCTTACTAAAATTTTATCATCGTTTTATCGTTTGTAGTAATTAAATTACTATTACAAAACATTTGATATATAATTTATTGTTTGTTTATTCATGTTTATGAAAAGAAATTTATTCAACTAATTACTGGATCCGAAGTCATTTCCATAAAAACTATTAATATGCAATTACCGATTTAAGCAATTAAATTTTATGGTTTAATTCGTCACTTTCAGGCAACGCATATTTTGTTTTAAATGGTTATATTTTAAATCGATACTCCATATACATATAAAACACCCAGACCGATACAAACCTACATGTTTATACTCGAGAACATGAACTACTACATCAAGATGGTTTTCAAATTTTCGTTTAAAAAAAATATAATAGTATACTATCTACTCCATGTATGTCTTAGAACATCGAATATTTGTTCAAATGCTTGCCATGTTGAGCAACGCGTGGGTTGGTAAAAAAATATATAATAGTATACTACTCCATGTATGTCTTAGAACATCGAATATTTGTTCAAATGTTTGCCAATATGAGCGACGCGTGGGTTTGCTCAGAAACAAAACTGTTATTGAAAATACTTTGATTATTTATAATAGACATTGTAAAATGACATTTACAACCCGAAAATATGATATTACCTGAAAATATGAATAAAAATAAGCTACATTTTGAGATGCATCGTATCACTAGTCGTGTTGGCAAATTTTTATATCAAATTTGGACATGACTCTTACCTCGCCGATTGTATTTTATTTTAAACCTTATATTTATTAAAATAAGTTTGGTTTTAATTGTAAATCATTCATTCATCATTTGAATTGATAGGTCTTGTCTACGTTAACGACGATAAACGTCGCGTTATATTACTATACGTCGAGTCCAGCTGTTCTCAACCTTTCTGGCCCTGATGTTTTATTTACTCGTCAGTGTTGATAATTAACTGTCATTAACTGTCAGTGTTGATTAAGTAAAATAATTTAACTATAACTTTGTAGATAGTTTGCTTAAATGGATGTCTTTATTAAATTTGTACATTGAATGTCTTTTAAAATTTTTCTCAAAAAATACACGCAATAAAATCGTTTGAAAGTTGTTTAGGTAGTGAAATAATTACCCGATTTATATCCTAATTGGTCACATTATTTTTCTTTGCAGCGGTGAAAAATTCGACAACAGCGCGTTAGAGCGTAACCCTAAACGTCTTCGTGTTATGGACAAGATCTTGCAGTATAGTCGCATGTTCTTTGTCTAAACGTATATTCATAATATTATATACGATCAGTGTTTGATGTTTTCTTGTATCTTAAATTATGTGTTAAAATATATATAAAAAATTATTCTGTCGAGATAATTGTATTGCTTTTTTATAACATATACACGGTGTAACATTTATAAAGAATGGGAAAATCTGTAACTAAAAGACACGAAAATCTGTTCTTCAGAATCATATTATCGATTTTAGTGTAATTTATGAATGCACTTTTTCTTGTCATTAAACTCGATGATGTGGTTCCTAAGAACGGATATTCTTAGCTATACTAATATGATAAAGAGGAATCATTTGATTGTTTGTTTGTTTGCAACGAATAGACTCCAAAACTACTGAACCGATTTTAAAAAATCTTTCATCTATGGGTAGCCACATCGTATGCGGTTCTAAAATCTAGCTAAGTATCGATACTAGAACCATATGCTGATCAAATTAGAACTATACCGAGTTTTCCAAAGCATATGCAGTGATATATACCAACTATATTAAATCATCATATAAAATATAGCATTTTATAATCAACAATAAATATCGATTATAAGTTTATTGGAAATTAACAATATTGCCGAAATAAATATCGATTCAAATCGATTATTTTTTCCCAAGCCTATTCCTTATGAATTTTCCGGATCTCGGACACAGTAGTGCACAAGCGTTAACACGTTTTTCATTGCCGCCATCACGGACCTGAAAAAACCGGTCCGGAACAGAGAAAAGTAAAATTCCGGACGGTAAAATTCCTGACAGTGCACAAGCGCGCATTACCTACATATGGCCTGACATATCGGACCTGAAAAAATCGGACCGCCGGACCTGAAAATTCAGTGTAGGGCACAAGCGCCCTAACGGTGCGTCGTACTACCGTTTATTTCGTCCTAGGTATCTGCATGCAAATTTTTTGTCTTTGATCTTCAATATCATTTATTTTTAATATTCACTTTTCGTAATTTGAAATTTTGAGTAATCCAATGCTCTATATGAATATCAGTTCGTGAAATTTCATCGAGTTAGAAACATTATACATTCTTAATTACAATCAATAGCCATTTGTTGTAAAAAAGTATTACAATGTATTTATTATTACCTGTTTCCGTTATGTTCATGAGTTCGAACTCAAGAAAAATGTATACTATATCAAATCAAAAAATAATTCACCAGACCCGAATTTTTCTATTTAATTATTCAAACTTTTTATATTCCTTTTTTGGTTGTTACGGTTTTTTTTTGTTAACCCTTTATTAAATCAGGTACTCAAGCTTAGTCAGCCTTTTATTCATTTGCCTTAGCATCGAACTCGTAACAACATATACCGAAAAACACCAAATAAAGGAATGAAAATGGGTGTGGATGTTTGAATAGGGACTTAAAATGTTATTAATTAAAATACTATAGCAACCATTGCTAACAATTCAATTTGTATTTGTAATTATATCCGTATCATATATGTGATATTAATATATGATATGAATTGGTATTCAAAAAAAAGCTCCCTAGGGACCACGCTGGCGTAGCCATTGGCAGAATGCTAGTTTTATAGTTTCAGACTTTCCTCTACAGCTTGAAACTTTACGCTTACACCCTGTATATGTATTATTATTATTTTTAATTAAGTTATTATTATGTAAAATAAAAACAATGTCAACAAGTAAACAAAAAAAAATTTCGAGGGTGCACTTCCAAAATGTCTTATGTGACATACTAGACAATATTGAGTTGTATACTTATTCAGAATTCCTTCTTTTGATCTCGGTTTTATAATGATTGGGGCACTTTTCTGAAATCTAAGCTTTGAAGTGCTTTCCTGTAAAATTTTAAAAATGTCTCTTAATACATTTTTCCCGTGAATCCTAATGTTTTAGAAAAAAAGTTAGTTTTATTTTTCACACTTATAGTCTGCTATTCTCTATTTTTGTAAAGATGAAATACTTTGTTGACAAAAAATATAAATATAAACCCGATTGTATGCGATTCTAGTAGTTTGTTTCCAAGAAACTCCATTTCTAGCCAAGCTAGTTTATAATTGACGAATTTTCATTAATAATGCTTTCTTGATACTATTTGATTGAGTAAAAAAAAAAAACAATCACCCCTTTTATGATTTTCCCCATAACGGATCTTTAGATTTAACGAACTAATAAATTTAAATGTTTCAGCTTGTATGTTTAGCGTTTAAGATTAAATATTGCAGGAAGTAGGGTATATGCATCCTTTTTTATTGTATATTTTTTATAATGGTAAAACAAAAAAAAAAGGTCAAGGCAAAATTAAAATCTCGATGAGGCCAATGTAGAAATATACTCATAACGTCAAAATCTATGAAACTATGCGACCCTTGAGCGAAAAACACAGAAAGTCCATTCTCAAGTCCGCCATACTGTTTAATAATCGGATAATAAATAACTAACCTCTATTAATTTGAAAATAAACTTTTCTATTCAATTCATTTGATAGCCATAGTTTTTGGTTAATAATAGTCTTGTCCGATGCATATACCCTATTTTTAGTGGCTTAGTATAAAATACATATAATCATGATTAATCCCATAGATATGACAAATAGGTTAAAATGATTGAGTTTGTTTTTTTCACATTGCGATATGTTCCTATTTCTGATTATCATCAATGTTTCTTAGAGATTACAAGCTTACTAATATAAGCTTACGCTTACATTTTAAAATTCACTTGGACGAGTCCTGGTCATCAATTCAAACGCATATTGGACAAACTTCATATATTATGTGACTTATGCTCATTTTCACTTAGGACTCGCCCAAATCTGATTTCTAAATATTTGAACATTGTCAAAGGTAAAAATGCATTCCACCAATGACGAGGAGCCACCTAACGACATTAACGCTTAAATGATGCCTTACGCTAGGCAATTGCGTAATGTGACAGATACATTTACTCTTTGGCCATAACGGATGTGTTAAAGGATAAAATCAATTTAGTAAGTTGGAATTAAAGTGTTTATATATTAAAATTAAGATACAAACAATGATATTATTTGACTTTTCGTACTTTTTATATATGGACGTGTAAATACAAGAACACATATATTTTTTCTTGTGTTATTACTTGAAATTAATATTTTTGATATTGTCTTTTTACGTGTAAAGGCGACTAACGTGACATTTGCGGAATTGTGTAAACGCAAAAAGAAGAACTGAAGCATGCAAAATCATAGACAAACGTTGCTTATCTAAGCAAGTGCTTTGCTTACAATGCCTTAGCATTACCTAACGTTATAGGTTTGGTGAAACGACAAATCTGCTTATGCTATTTTTAATATTAAGTGATTTCTAGTTAACACTTGCTTTTTTATCCTACAAGGCGTAGCTTATCAGAAAGCTCTTAATCTTATGAATCGCCTAAGCAGAGTTGTTTAATGCCCCAAATAAACGAATTGATTTTTATGTCCCATAACACTTCTGTGATCTATCACAGTTCGCTAATGCCTAGTGCAAGGCGTGAATTTTAGGCTTAATATTTTTTGGTGGCACTTAGGTTTTGGTAAACAAACTCATTTTCTCCTTAGGCGATTCCAGTGGCTCTACTGCGTATCAGAAGAATTTATGTTGTGTACGTTCCTTTTAAGTAACACTCATAATTCAAATCTAAATTTGATTTTTAAATTTTTTACTGATATTATAAAGATTTGATTGTTTTTTTTTGCATCGAATAGGCTCTGAAACTACTGGACCGATTTAAAAATTTCTTTCATCTACGTGAAGCATCATATGAGGGCAACATAGGCTATAATTTAGGCAGGTGAAGTCGCGGGAAAATAGCTGTTTGAAATATAAATTAAAAAGAGCGAAGCACTAGTGAAATCCATAAGGCCAATAATTAAAAAGATAGATAATTCAAGGCGACATTTTACCAGATCCATAAGAGTTTCCATTACACAGTAGAGTCTCAGGAATCTCAAATATTTAGGGGTTAGGTTTGGATGATAATGAGTGGCCCAATTAAGTGAAAACGGGAATAAGTAAGAATTTACTAGTGACCATCTTATTATAAAACAAGGACTAATTTAGTAGATGGTTTAAACCAATATTCGATAGAAATATTTCAACACGTCTCAATTTGACGTTTCTCTTCTGTCATTGCTAATTTACGCTAATGGTTTAAATTCCGTATTAATAAGACAAATAAAGAATATATATTATAGAAATGCGCATCCTTTATTTCAGCAACCGGGAAACTGTGTAATGAGTAACGGGAAAGACTGAATAGGATGATCTTTATGTTATTTATTTTTAAAATCGTAAAATATCAAAAAAGATAAAATTTCATTCCTTCCTTTCTATCTGGCAGAAACTTGATAATCTAAAACTTACATATTTGGCATAATTTTCTTTAGACGAATATTTATAATACATACAAATTATTAAATATATCGATCGGCCGAATGTATTTCCGAATTAACAATAGCATACTAGGTGGCAGAATAGCTTTGGCATAATTACTTTTGGCATAATTTGTTAAGCATGGTGTGACAAACACCCTTCTGGGGACAGGTCCATAAGAGAGTATATGCCAAACGAAATTCTGCGAAATTAACATTCAAAGTTTTGCCATCAAGAAGGGACGAGAAATTTTAGCCTGTTAAGTGTATTCTTAAAACACGGTAACCGCTTCATAATATAATTTAAAATAAAATTCTGTATTGGATATTTTCGATGCGTTCATCCCAATCGGCAATAATTTATGTCTTTAAAATCAATTGAGAAACAAGCCAATATACATAAAGTATTATACATTATAATTATAAATATCTATACAATATATTGTTTACAAAATCATCTGTATTACAATAAATTTCTATTTTCAATGCTATATAAAATTACATTACAGACTATTGCGTTAAGTTATTTATGACAGTTTTATCGTTTTGTTCATTATTTTAGTACTTAGCTTAAGCAGATATAACCATTACATATTAACAATATTGGGCTTTTATTATTAATACATTTATTCAATAAAATATACTTAATGGGCATACATTCTTTTTATTTATTTTATAAACTTACCCATTAAAGCCAAAGAATCCGGTCAGTGGCGGTTAAGGGGGGGCGGGGCGGTCCCCCCGGACCTCTTGTCCTGGGGAGCCTCCAAATGGTTGCAAGTGCCCTTAATCAAATCATAAATTGGGGTTCTACTGGCTATCTTCCATATGTCCAGTTTTATAGTTTTAGCAGCTGTCTAACGCATTATCAATTTTCTGCCTCGGTTGAGAAAAATTGTAGGTCCGAGCCTGATGCCGCCCCGGGCCCCTAGTCCGCCACTGGATCCCAGGATCCACTGCAGGTATGTGCGTTCTTGACAGAACTTTTTTTTTTATGAATCACACAGGATTGTAGAATAAATATAACATAGTTAGGGGATGGGATGTTAATTCCTACTTAGTGTTCTTTCTCTCTAATCTAATAATTGTTAGCTAATAAAAGTTTAATCATCTAGGTATGTAGTTTATTTAATATTGATCAGAATTACACAATGGAGGTTTATAGGTATAATAATTTTGCGGTCTCTGTGTAAATTCGATTACCCTGGGTAAAAAACTTAAATTTTTGATTCAGATACAATTTGTTACGCACTAATTATTCATTTTTGTAATTTATAAACATTAAAGATGTCGGTCACGAGATGGGTGACCAAAAAATTATTATGTCGAGCTACTCCGTGCTTCGGAAGGCACGTTAAGCTGTTGGTCCCGGCTGCATTTGCAGTCGTTGATACCCTCCAATCCGCATTGGGCCAGCGTGGAGGGTCATGGCCTATCCTCCTTAACCATCCATAAGGAAGGCCTGAGCCCCTCCAGTGGGGACGTAAAAGGGCTGATGATGAAAGATGTCCTGTCCCTGTCTGTTTCATGAACAATCATATAAATACGAGAAAGAGGATAGCGAAAGAATAATGCGTATAGAATTACACTTATAGGTACGTAAGTTCATTAAAAAAAATGCTGATTGTGATTAGTAACGCTAGACTCATACCAGGTTACTGAATTGAGAATTTGAATTTGAGCATTTGCCAAACCGTGCTTAAGCCATTTTAAACGTCAATTAAACAGGTTTTCATTTCTGATTTATAATTTTTTAATGATCAGTTGATAGCAATTTGATAAAACTAGGACTTTTTGCCTTATGCAATGTAAAAAACTTAAGATATTGAGAATAATAAGTTGAGATTTTGTGCTTTTCTCAATTCAGAAACCGGCCGTCATTCTGATCAGTGCAAAACAGGAAAA